GCACTGCAGTCTCATAAAGCAGAGGATTTATATCGAGTTTTGAATGTCACCCAAAGGACATTTCTGTACCTTGTCTTTACTGAAGCGGAATAAGGCTGCCAGCTGAGATGAGCCAAAAAAAAAAAAAGCCCCCCCCCCCCCCCGCCACTTGTGCACTGACGCGTTCTTTGCCATTTTTGATGTTTGTATTTTGGAACTGAATTCAACTGTAAGGGGAGTTTTCCCCAGTCATGTCCTCCTCTTCTTCTTCCTCCTCCAATTGTGCCTTTGTGATGATTTGTTGTTGTTGGTGGTGTGTGTGTGTGTGTGTGTGTGTGTGTGTTTGTAAGGCACACATCAGTTCCTTCTCCGTAAGCTCCAGAGACCTTACACTAGAAAGTGAACAACACATAAAAAGCTGCTGGGTCTTCTAAAATATTATTTGTCGGCATTTGGTGGTGATCAGAGAAAACGGGCACTTGTGCACTTACTGAGTTCTATTGCTTATTCTGCAGATAATACCACAGCCGATTTCAACAAAGACCTCATCTTGCCGTTTGCCGCATGAAAAGGGGACATATCCCCTCACTTAGGAAAGACGCAAACATAGCATTATTTTGAAATACAGCCTTGCCTGTACCCTGCAGCGGGGTTTGCTCCAGCGATGGGGTACTTCTGAGACCAATTTGTTTAGCTGATCACTGTCTCTTTGACATGGCTGCAAATGTTACCTTTCTTTTTCAATCAAAAACACAGCAGGGGGTGCCATCTGTTTGGCACAGGCCTTAGCTCACTTCCCCAATGCCTTTTTGTGCAGATCATTTTACGTGGCAATTTGCTAAAATCTTTCATTCCTTGGTTTTGCTAAATATAACTTTCCAAAATGGGCTGTTTTCTCAGAATGTCAGCAAGACTCACAAATGAATGCAGTTTTTTTTTTCCTGAAACCGCCAATATCAGATCAAATGGAGCATTTTTCAGATTTTTTTTTTAATGAACAAATACCTCACTGTCATCTCATTGTTTACTTAAAACCGACATGTTTACTGAGGATGGTGAAATCACATTTAACCTCCTGAATTTCACTCTGTTTTCTTTGTTTGGCTCTTAGGAGGTGCACTGCCTCTATAGACACAGACATCTCGATTTTTATGATCCTCCAGGAGAACAGGTAAAGCCAGTGCATATGTAGACCAACCAGATTAAATAGCCATTAGGAAACAACTGCTAGCAGGAAAGTGGTTAACTATTTTCCCCAGCTCAGATGCTGTTCAAAGCCATGAATCCCCCCCTCCAAGGAGGAACAGATGAGCAGCACCACGCGCTAAGCCACAGGGATGCGCGTGGATTTCCGAGCGCTTTGTAGAATACAAATGAATTATCCTCATTCTTCTCCTAGCAGAGCATATAGGCCAGACCTCATTAGAATTCAATATCGCTCTGCTTTTCTAATGTTAATGTACCAGTTATATAAGAAATACGTGCATGGGGGGGGCTTATTCCACAATTATGTTCAACATGATATCATAATTCCGAAAACTGGACATAATCTTTGCTAAAGGAAATTATTACATTTTGCCCTTTTATCTTTTGCTTCTAATTTAACTTAAATTCCCGTTCTAATGGTGGATTATAAGGGACCTTAATTCTTTGTGTCTCTCTTAAAGCTGCAGTGACTACAACATTGGCTTATTATAGCTTTTTGCAAAAAATGCCGTGACTAAAGATCAGCTTGCGAAGGCTCTGCGTCCATCTCACTGTGAAAGGAAGCACAGCACATTACGTTAATAAACAACTGTAGGAGTTTTCTTCATCCAGGAATAACTCAGGGCATTAAGGCTTGAGGTCTTTTGTCTAGAGTGCAGCAAGAAGTGTAATGAAAACAATAACACCAACACATAAAAATACAATTTATGCCCTTTTATCAAGCAAAGAAAAAGTTGGTTAACGTTTGAAAAGGGAGCAGTAATGTAAATTTATTGACAATTTTATTGTAATAATTAGATGTTTACACAGTCTGGACATTGTGGCTAAATCACTTGCAGCATGTTTATTTGCAGGGAGCTGTTTTCTGGGCACTGCAGTGGTTCATTAAGAAGACATACTGTATTAGGATTCAAAGAAACAGCTCCCGTTCTCTCCTCTGTTTTATATATTTTTAAAATACAGCAAATAATGAAGCAAAACACAGAATTTCCTTCATAAGGAAAACAACTTCCCTCGTGGCTTGAAAATAAATCTCACATTGAATATCTTAATACACAGCATAAGAAAGACCACCTCTAATGACTGTAACTAGCTTTTAATACCAAGAGTGTAAATGGCAATCTGTTTTTGACTAAGAATAAATTACAAACAGTACCAAGGCAGCTCTTGCTTCACTCTTTTCTTTTAAAACCCAAGCGAAAAGCAAAAACAAACTCCGCAGTATTTGTTTTAGATGAGAGACTTCTGAGTGTGTTTTGGAAGAGAAAAACCTCGTTTAGAGAGAAATATTTCTCTTATGCAGCTTCAAAGCAGATTAATGGATTAAAGTTGTACACTTGAATAATTTGACTATATTTAAAACCTCCACATGGCTCTCTTCCATTATTTTTTGTGTTTCTATATTAGTCTAGAATGTGTTGCTCTGAGATGGTTTTTATGTTTCCAAATTGAGCTAAAATGGAAATGACAAATTTTCAGTTATGCAAAAACAGCAATGAGGTGCCAGAAAAAAATATATTGTGAACAAAATAATCTTTAGGAAAGATATAAAATGAGAATAATTTTATAGCGTGAAATGGATTCAATAACAGAAGCATATTCAGAGCAATTATATCAATTTTTAAAATTTAGAAACTGTTTAAAAATTAAGATACTAAATGCTAAGCTACATTATGTTTCCAGCCTTACTATACTTCCATTAGAATTAAGTAGTAATCAATATAGAGTATTTATTGCTATGAACTACAGCACCAGAGGAAGGAGATGCTGCTCTCAGAGCGCGCAATTCTCCTCCGTAATCATTTAGGAAGAGGAAAAAAAGTTTTAGAAACAGACTGATCTTTACTTTAATCACAGTTGCCACAATTCATTGTACTTCCACTATTTTCTGTACTGAAGAGAATGTAAAGATGGTAATAAAAATACATGATGAAAATAACAGTTCCCCAGGTGAAGTCAATAAGACCAGGATGACAAGAAAAGCTTTCATTTTTAGGAAGCAAAAAATAACAGGCACCCAGAATGACTTTTTTTTTTCAAGTTGATAGAATTGATTAATGATTCAAAATAACCAAGGAATCAAGTTGTAGAGCATTATTTTAAAGACAAGTGCTAAAAATTAACTCTATGCTAAAATGACGTTATTAGATGTGTTCTTGGAATTACGTACTGCATAACACTGTAGATTACAACTGGGAGGCTAAAATGTGGAATCCTCATGACTGCATGATTACAAATATATTTAATAATCTTAAATAAACTCAAACTTACTTTGATATCTACACTTCTAAGTAATTCAAGACATGAGAAATGAATTTTAAAAAATCAGATCATGAAAGCCATTATTATTTGAAGGAATATGCTCAATTTTTTAGATAATTTAAATTATTTAAGAGTCCTTTGCATTTTTTATTAGCTTTGCCTAAAGTTATAACATTAAAGCATTAAGGTTACATGTAATGGGGTTCTGGTTTGCCCTGATTTCTAGTCCCATATTTTCATAAAGTACAAACCAAGATTAGTGCTATATTACAAGGCTCATTCGATCATATAAAATTGTCTTACACCTAGACACGCATCTAAAAAAAAAATTAACTACGAAGGGTATGCACACACAAATATCCACAGATACCCATCTGAAAGAAAAGTTCATTAGGGGAGTAGATATTGGGCAAAGGGAACCTGTACAAAAAATTTCCTTCCTGTATCTGTTTTTTTAAAAAAATTCTCTGCCAAGTCCAACCAACTACAAACAACCTATATCTAAAGCCTATTATTAGCAGATTCATGGTTTTAAATATCATGAGAAAAGTTTATTCAGAAATTTTATAGACAGAAGTAACATCTCTACAATTGAAATTTCCATTAACAAAAATCAATCACATTTTAAAAGCCAATGGCTTCATACAAAAATGCACTTAAGATCGTAGAAGAACCCCAAACTTCCCTAGGATCAATTCGTATTATAAAATAACAACAAAACTAACATTATTCCAAGAAGTATTACAGTCAAAACTGAGTATTCAAATCCAACCCCGCCCCATGCTTGCATTTAGTGGGAAAGAGAAATTTTTATTTTGACTATTATTTCATTTCAGTTCTCCTATCTTCAAATGCAGGAAAGTCATATTTAACACTGTCATGGATTTTTCAAGTCCCTCCAAATATAATCTCACTTGAGCCTAACTTGAACCCTGTGAGGGAGGAGAGCAGGTGCGGCTGGCATTCTGTAGGCAGGGAAGTTTAGTCTCAGGCCAACACTTTAGGGAATGGAACTGGAATTTTGGGTGACTCCAGCTCCTGTGCTCTTCCTACTGCTCACTCTAAGCTGAGCACTGCGCTGGCATGGTCCCCCACTGAGAATGAGTCCTCATTCCTAAAGGGGTAAGGGGTCACTCAAAGCTTCCAGAATGTGCTCTCCCATGATTGGCAGCAACTCCTGTAAAGGATTTGTTGGTGTTATTCATATACAATTCTGTTTCCTTCACACTTAATTCAGTAGCTATAAGAATTTTGTAAATTTTGATTAAAAATCTTCTTGTCTGAACGATACTGAAACCCTTGCACCTTCTCCCCTCCCCTGGTACATTTTTAAATGTGTGTGCGTGTGTGAGAGAGAAAAAAATTCCCTTCTTGTCTTCGAGATAATCCTCTAGGTTCTAAAGTAACAAAATCAGAGAATCTTTCAGATCTTTGGACACTATCAGTAGCTCAACCAGCTAAGAACTGCATGGAGGAACGGCTACCTGAGGCTGCTCTGAGCCTTCCTGTGTTTATCTCCTGTCTGTTTTATTTAAACTATGAAATCTACTTGGGAAGGACGTGTCGAATCCTATATTTGAAATGCCCCTTGCACAATGTTGGCACTTAAATGTAATTATTCAAAATGGAATCATTTAATTAGATAGGAAGAGAAATAGCGAGCCCGGAGACGTAATAAAGAATAAAGCAAATATGCTGACCAACTCAAGCACAGCGACAGATAACAGCAGCCACTCACGGTGCTTTTCGGTTCTTCTGCTCAGGATGCAGGTTAACAGGAGAACACAGTTAGATGCCTTGCTTTTGCTGGGTTTACAGAAACCAGGGGGAATAGCTGATATTGGTAACTGTAGAGCCATGAGAGTTGTAAGTCTCATGTCTCATGTGACTCAGCTCCTTGGGAGAGCCCGAGGAGGAGGAGGAGGAAAGTGTAGCAAGGAGATGAAGGCAGTCTCTACAGGCCACAGGGCTTGACGTGGAATTAGGAGCAAGCAGGATACCCATCTGCATGGGACAGGTTATTTTACACCAAACAGATCTATCAGGTGGGCAGCTGGAGAGCTGGACGATGCCATTGTTCCTTCCTCTTTAGAAGCATGAGATTGTGGGTACCAAGCATGGCAACATTTCAAAGGACTATTCAAAAGCAAATACACCTTGTTAATTGGACATTGGTACACCCATTCCTTTTGGGGGTATTAAGACAGCCAATAGTTTAGGGTGCATTTTAGACCATGAAAAAGCTCAGTTTTAACCCATCTCTGGCTCAGTTCCAGAGCCCTAAGTGAATGTTGGTTCTTCTCTCCCACTCTTTTACTCCCTGCCCCAACAGCATCCAATCACCAAGGCATGCATAAATAAATAAATAAATAAATAAATAAATAGTTCAAAAACCAAAACAGAGACTTTCTTTATGGAGTCCTATACAAGATACTACACAGGTGCCCAACAAATAAGACTTCATGTTCAGCTAATATCTAGTACTTAAGTAGGACATAATCCAATAAAACTTCCTAAACAAATTCATATCCTAAAAAGTAAAGAAGTATATTAGATATTGCCATTACTTCGTTACAAAATTAAACACATTTTATAATGAAGTGAGTTTACTCATTGTAAAAGGGCTGAACAGTTTACTAATAATGTTTATACTGAATTTTTAAAAAAAAAAACTGTCAATTTAAATCCATTCCCTAAAACAAGTGTTTGAGATAGAAACAGCGGCTTGGCAGTTCTCCCTGGCTTCCCCTGCTCATCAGTTTACACAGGCTTCACTTTTGAGGAGGCAAAGGATGGGAAAAGGTCATTACAACAGGATCACTTCGGCCTGATGTCCTCTCTCAGTTTTCTGCCACCTTGGTTGACTCCTTATTTCAGTTGGGCCGGAAGTCCACTGACAGCAGTGTTCCTGCATCCGAGCTTATTCCTCAGTGCACATCTGCTGCCTCTAATCTGATGTCATCACCATGGTGCGCTTTAAGACGAAATGAACCCAGTTCAGCTGGCCTACTGTCCCCTCTTGACAAGGCTCTCCACATGCTGCAGCCTGTTGTATGCCATCATCAGTGGTCACGAGCACTTGTCAAGTGCCCACTCTTTGCAAAGGAGAGAATGAAGTGCTGGGTTTGAATTCACCCCAGCACTGCACAGCACAGTGGTGTTGAATTCAGGGGAGGGAGGCTGGGTGGGAGCCTGACTAGGTAATTTGCCGCCGGGACTTTGGGACAAAGTACTCACCCTCAGTTTCCTAATCAGGAAAACGTGAATAAATAACAGAACTTGCCTCTTGGGGTTGTCATGAGGATTGAAGGAAAAGCACACAGCAGGACAAACAGCACACAATGAAGGAATGTTGGCTACTGCTATCACTAGTAAAATGTCGCCATCACATATGGTAGAGGTTTTCTTCCAGGACTGCCATGGGGACTGGAAGGGGAGGGAGGCAGTGTATGGGAACCTGCTCATCTGAGGGAACTCTGTCCTCCTCTGTGGCACTTGTTTGTAATTGGCATACCCTGATGTCGTTACTTTCCCTCCACTGAAAGTAGCTGTGTGACACTTTTCGTCAAACCAAAAGTAAACTCCTGTTCAAGCTTCACATGGTGCCTGTTTTCACTCTTAACAGGAGTGATATTTCACTATTACAAAGTCAAGGCCAATAAACAGAAAACAGACAAGTGCTACACTATACTACCTCTCTGAATGATAGAAATAAAAAAGCAAACCACGAAAACAGAGAGGAGAGAAATCTAGTGAAACACTTCCAAAGTTCCAGTGTTAAGAAAGGCACTTAAGAGACAGGCTTTGGGAGCAATTTCTACTTCCCACCTTTGCATATTCACAAGTATTCTGATGTGCTCAGCTTCCAGCCCTGTCCCAAAAGCATAGACCAAAGCAAAGCAGGGGTATGACCACATTCTACTTTTGTGGTTCCTTTCATCTTGGGGACTGGACTTGTAAAGCATTCAAGTTAACATGATCATACAATTTTTAAAAGATAGAAAGCAAAAGAGTTTTTTTTTTTTTAAGGACAAAATTAAATTATGTTGGATCTGGCAACAACTGTGCCAACTTCCCACTTTCAGAGATTCCTTTTTGATCCACCCAAAACCAGTGGTAGGATGCAGGAGCAAAGGCCTTCCTGTCATTTCCCAAAGAACGAGGGCAGCAGTGACTTGGAATGTTCTGGTAAGTGCAACAAGATCCCCAGCTGCCTAGGTTGCCTATGCCCTTATTTGAACATCACAATGCTGAGTGCAGTAGAAAGGGGAACCACCTTTAAAGAATGTACTACAACTCAACTTTCTAATTATTCATTCCTTGTTACTAACAGATTCAATCTACTTGTTGATATAACCTGTTATGGGGCTCTGCTTTTAAAGACTTAGTAAAAGGGACTGCTTTTTTTTTTTTTTTTTTTTAACGAAGATAACTTTCTTAGTGTGAAAGCATAAAGGGATTTTCTCTGTCAGGTATAGAGGCCAAACTCTTTCTTAAATCTTGGTTCTTGAACTATTGTGGGGGTGTCAAACCTGTTAACCAATATTTACTGGATACACACCATATACTTTGTACTGTGCTGGCAGGACACAAAATCATATGGTTGTGTCCAAGTAATAATTGAGTCTACTAGTAGAAACAAGAAGAAACTCCTCACACAGAGCATTAAGGAAATGTCATTCCAGGTTACAGGGATCATATAATTATATAAGTATGTATGTCATCATAGCAAAATACTATGGTATCAGAGATACTGTCAGATATTCTGGAAGAACTCAACTATAAGGTAGTAGGTGATGATAAACGGATAAAACTGAAGCTGTCCAGAAATGTCTTGTTCCCAGTCCAGAAGACAAACTGTTATGCATTTCCATATAAATATACAGAAAAGATAAACAATATATAATTTATATTTTTCAGTACTCAGTATGTACATACATACATAAAATTATTTATATTCCTTCAACCTTAGAGGGAAGCTGTGTTTTCTATGGCTTGATCATGTTTGAATCACCACAACTGACATGCAAACAACTGCCATATCTGGCATTTGGAAGAACTTTATTTGATTTAAAAATTCTTACAGTGATTCACTTAGTCTCACTCATGAAGTTCAAACTTAAACTTCACGTATACTGAGGTCAGTTTCATTCTAGTAGCTGAATTGCAAATCAAAATCTATGATATGTAATCAGTTCTGATTTTAATCACGACTCTAGATGGTACGAGAGCTGATGAAGTAGCAATAGGTTCGAGAAATTGTATAAGAAGTAGAAATCAACAGAACCATGAGAACCTTGGCTGCAAACATTTTAGAAAACAACGGAATAGAAGCTATGTTCTTTGTGAAAGACTTTCTTCATCAAGTGTTTGTACAATGATAGCAAAAGACTCCAACAACCAAACCCACGTATACAGATTTCACCTGCAGATGGTTGAAAAGTGATTTTTCTATGATCCTACAATACTGTATGTAATTATCTGTAATCAAATTATGGTAAAAATAATCAGCTTGACGTATTCAGAACAAGTACTGGACTAAACAATATTCCTTTTCATAAAAGAAAGAGTCATACACAGCAAAGTGGCAGAAACAGAATGGAGTGAGCTGTGGTTAAGTGTAAATCCTATGGCAATGAAAGTCATTTGTATTATCCTTACTTCTTTGAATAAATTCAGATGACAGCCCTATTTCATTTCTTCATTCAGTTTGGAGGCCAGATGGCATTAGAATCATTTACTTCACCTTGTTGTGCTTAATTACTACAATCAACACACTATTTTCCAAATTAATCATAACAAAGTAATTTCATTAGTAACACAGCAGGCTGTTGAATTATTAGCATCATAACAGTTTGCAAACAATTAAACTTTATTTGAACCTTAAAAATTTGCAGAGTGGAACATTATTGTAAGATCTAATGGCAATAGAGTACAAATTCAGTACAGAGCAAATAATCAAGCAAAATGCTATATAAAATATGACTTACAATCACCTTTGAAAAAAATTAGCTCTCTAACTGTTCATAGAAAAACAAATAAAAGCTAAGCAAACATAATGAGAACATAACAATTAGCATATTTTCTAACAAGCCATGTTGTTTAAATTCACATTAATGATATTATTATGACCTTGAAGAGTACGTGATATATTGTCATGGGTGTAAAGAAAACTTTCTCCCTGGTTGTATACAAATTATTCCATCAAATGAATGTAGAGTAGTCGTGAATTGAAAGTAACGATTGCCTCTCTTGTCACTCCAATTTTAAATCTTCTGCTTCCTTTCTATATCCCCCACCTATATTCAAGTTAAAAAAGAACAAAGGCCAGGGGAGCCCTGGACAGCAGTAACACCATATTTCTGTATTGCCACCATTCAAAGACTAGCTGGCTTGGAATTGTTGGTCATCAGTTGGCAGAGGACTCCCTCTCCTGGATTAACTGTAAAAAGAGGCAGAAATCTCCTAAACTCCTGAATTAGTCCTCGAGTGGGGGAGGGGTTGCCAAGTGTTCTGTATGCAGTGACAAGCTGCTGCCATCTACTGGCCCAGTACTAAACACTTCATTTAGGTGGGAGGCAGGAAGCTGACTCCACAGGCCTGCTGCAGTTGGGCGGAGCTGCTTTTGCTTTTCAACTACTCAGGCTTTGAAAACTAGTCCATGAAGTTCATCTCCAGTGGTCTAACTTTTGCCAAGATGACTTCTATCTAGTTCAGTGGCACTACATCAGGAAAAGGGTAATGACCACACAAATGTAAGTTCTGAAAACTTTAACTTGATGGGTCTATATGTAAATTTCAGTTTACTCACAGTCCCAAAAAGTAAGTTTTTTTTTTTCCTTAAAACTTTGAAACTTAGGAGATAACTGTAAAATAAACACTCTAATATCATTTGTAAATAGTTGTAAATAAATAATGGAGGTTTTAAAATATTACCAATTCATTTGCATGGTTAGCGTCTTTACCTTTACAAAGCAAAGATCTGAAAACTTCACAAAGATAGTACCAGCTAAGTAATGATTCCATCTTAGGAGATTATATCTATTCTAGTCATCACAATGCATTTTAATGTATATTAAGGGCATACTGGTACTTCACAGGCATTTAAAATTCCCATGATTTAAAATACACATTAATGATTTGATCTGCAAATCTCCTTCATGCAGCACTGAGCATAACTGAGATGCCAGACAAACACTACCCCCCCTTCCATCCACCTGTTGATGCATGTTACCCTGTGACTTCTACACTTTGCTCTCTGGGCCTTCCTTTTCTTCTCAGCACTCTCAGAAGTACAGAAAAGAGCCCAGAGTTGTGCTGTTTTATGGTGGGACTTCAATAGCACGGTAACAAGGTAGGATGAGAGAGTACTGACTGGGTCACACTTTCTTACTTTGAGAATATATTGAGGCTGTTTATACCATTTTATCAGTGGTAGAATGAGGTTTTTTATGAATCTTTTATTTCATTAAATTTAAATAAAAATACAGTAGAAAACATTGGTATGCCTATCATCAAACCAGGATATCTGTTATGTGTAAACTGCTCTGCGCAAACCTGGTTCCAGTTCACACTTGTGCTGCAGGTGACAGCACATAGCCATTTGTAATTATATCGCTTTTTTTTTCTTTCTCATGGCTGTATTTAAGGGGAAGTAAATTTGCCACTTTGTAGGACTTCTTTCATGAGAACATGTTACTATTGTGTGAAAAATAAATACTAAGGTAAATGATTTACAAAGCTTTAGCATACTCACATTTTTTAGCATCTGCCTAAACCCTGCATGATATATTAAATTAAAATTCTATGAAATTAGATATTACACTCTAAAAAATAACTGATGTTCAATGATTAAAAGAAATTACAACTCACACTGGAAGTAGCAGTAACTACATGGTCTGCATAAAACAGTAATGAATTCTTCACACAAATCACTAAATGGGTGAATAAAAACTGCAATTATTTCTTTGCAAAACAGCAACAGGTATAACTTTATGGCTTGCATCTAATTTACATTAATACCCTTCATTTAATTTCACTTCAGAGGAATATTTTAATGAACGACTATATAAAATAATAGTCAAAGCCAGGGATGTTCAACAAAACAAAGAAAGGTTATGGGCTGTCACTCATGCTTTCACAAGGCTTCTAAATCCAAAACATTTGCAGATAAGCAGAAGACTCTTCCTTCTCTGTAAGCAGGAAGGGAAAGTTGTATTTTAATTTTTTTCTTCAGTCAAAATGTTGATTTCTCCTGCTTAGAAAAAAATATATTTTTTAGTTAAGGAAAAATGAATGTTAACTCAACATTCTGCTAATTCATCACCTCACAAAAGCCATAAAAGTGATGTTTTACTAAAGTGAAGTAGTTTGAGAAAACAGCTGGTTAGTATCAAAGGAACTTTCTCTAAATAATTTCTTCATTTTCAAAGTAAATTCTGTTAAGTTATTTTAAAAATTAAAGATCAACATAACAAAAAAATTGGGGACACCATCTTGTGTTATCAGAAAACTATAAAGACTTTAAAAAGGCAAAGACTCACAAGGAAGAGACCAAGAGAACATATGAGCTATTACAGAATATTGGATTAAAATGTACTTACCCAGGACTCTCAAATATCATACATCTCCATTACGTAGGCTTTAGGCACCAAGCCAATGGCTCCCTTCATTTCTCCTACCCACCAGCCATATCTATTGTATTCCTAATTGAAAACAATATGCAATATTAACCTTTAGACTGGTGTAAGTATAATGTCGTTTTTATGCAACTTCTTAGAAATGTTATTCCTTTTTATAGAGTTACAAGAGCTTGAGCTGCAAATGGAAACATTTTCATCTTTTCTGTTTCTGGACACTTTAAAAATGCTGTTAGGCACAGGTTTGAATTAATGTATAACACAAAGCCTGTTTATTACTAGATGTAGAACACAGAAACAGGCACTCATGGTATGAACCTCTCTCTCTTTCCACCCAGCTTGGATACCTTTTATGTGTAAGCACCAGTGAAAAAGGCTATAAGAGGAAAACTAGGATCCCAAAGATACTCTGTTTGCCTTCAAGAAGCTTATTATCTAGCAAGGATAAATTTTTTTTACAACAAGCTACTTAATTCATAATTAAACTTGTACTTCCTAAAACGGTTTAGAATATAGAGGCACATCCCTTAAGAAAATTTGATATGCACATTTTAAACAGATAAGAGAATAAAAAAACATTAATACAAAAAAATGGCTTAATAAAAAATTTACAAATAGGCCCCTTTAAAATAGCATCCATAAGGCATTTATTGTCCCTTTCATTGGTCACAAGCTACTTTAGATAAAGGATAGGTGGAAGGGATTTAAAGGTGGTATTAGATTTATCCTTATAGTGGAAGATCAACAGAAAACAAAAGTATCTCAAGTTTTAAAGGAAAAATATTAATCTAGCTGTAAAAAAAAAAAGTGATTGATGAGGTACTTCTGCATTTACTTTGCGACATGAGATAAACAAACCTGTGCCTCTTTTCCTCCCTTTATCCCCCATTGACAGCTACACCACTGCTTTAGGCATTGCGGACGCTCTGTAACCAGTCTCAAATGTCTGCCAGATTGACTAATGGATTTTTATCTCAAATTTATTTATGTTTAGTGAGATACAAACAAAGTAATATGAATTACAAGTTTCAGGAGTAATATCTTCCAAAGGCAATACTGTGCTCGAGCACTGTAAGTCTCAAATTTAATTTTTCATATAAGATAAATTTTTAAAATCAATCTCAGAAGTAATTCAATAGGTTATGATTTTCCAACATCTGAGTCATAGATAAATGTGCATATGCATATTGAGTTACGTGTGGGGAGGGCAGGTGAGCACTAACATCTGTATTGATGAGTATGCTTACTGACCATTAGAAAGGAAAATTATGCAGTTCTTCCATACAAAGGTAGCACATTAGCATGCACATACAGATATGTAGTCTACGAATGAGACTATGGAATAAGACATATAGGTTTTTTTGTTGTTGTTGTTTTAACAGTAGGCAGTATCAGAATTGGGCTTATTGAAGAACAAAGTAGAGAGAAAAGCCTAATTCCATTCTTTTTATTCTAGTGAGGACACAGCCCTGGCTTGGGAGTTTAAAAGTTTAAAAGTTTGCTGACAATGTGAACTTAGTGTACAAAACTGCCTAAGCAACAAAAGTACTCTGGGTCCAGAACTCACTGATGATGACTATAATTAATATCAGAAGAAAATACCAACTTACTGAAAGCTATGATTAGCAACCATTATATCCTAATAGGTACCTAATAAAACTGCCTTTTTCAATTTTTAAGACAATGAATACAATTAGAGCCTAATGCTTAACAAAATAATGTACTTAGCCTACTAAAGACCTAATGCCTACAGTGTAAGATGTCAAAATGGACAGTCAACAGGGTAAGGCTGAGTGTGAAAGCTCTTGCCAGGTGCCAGTCTTAGATTTTTCCAAGTGCTTATTTGGAAAGAGTGGTAGTCTTTCAATGGTAGACACTGAAATCATTCAGTGAGAGGGTATATTATTGACCCAAACCTGCTTCCAGAGAATGACCCTCAATCTGGGTGACAATATTAAGATTCAAATTATTAGCCAGAAAGTTTATATAACTTTTTAATAGTCTACTTTGGTTATAATGTGTACCATCAATAAGGGCATATAATCATTCTCAAAAAGCTCACTCACACCCAAATTTAAGAACTGATGTCCAACAAATCACACCAACAAAAATGAATGACAGACTTTACACTTGAGAGAATTGTAAAATAGGGTAAAACAGGCAAGTTCATTAAACAGAAGCCCAGTCGTAAACAGCAGGGAGGAGCCTGTTCCATTGTAAATAAATCCCTTAAAAGTAACATTGTAGAGAAAAAAAAGAAAAAGTCTTACATTAAGATAATCTTAAAAGCTTCACTTCATTTAAAATAACCAAAAAGGGCTGGGTTTGTAGCTCAGTGGCAGAATGCTTGCCTAACACGTGTGAGGCACTAGATTCAATCCTCAGCACCACATAAAAATAAACATATAAAATAAAGGCATGCTATTCATCTACAACTACAAAAGATTAAAAATATAATAATCAAAACAGGTACAAAATACACAAGTCATAAATTCCTCTAATGTGTCACAGATTTAAATCAGAAAAGGGCAAAACCAAAAACCAAAATACTTATTACTTTACATTCATCAAGAATTCTATATAGGGGATAGGAAAGACGGTGGAATGAGTTAGACATCATTACCTTAAGCACATGTATGAAGACACGAATGGTGTGAAAATACCTTGTGTACAACCAGTGACTTGAAAAATTGTACTTCATATGTGCAATACGAAATGAATTGCATTCTGCCGTCATATATATCAAATTAGAATAAATAGTTAAAAAAAAGAATTCCATATAATACTCCTGTGTGGAATTAGGGGATAAGATAAAATATAGGGAAGTAAAAATCTAGGAGGCTTATTTATGGATTTATACTGTAGCCATTAGAGAGTGTCGACAAGACTGCAAACATAGGAGCCTCCCCTTCCATCATTACCGTCCTCTGGATGAGCCTCCTGAGCAACATGAATCCCAATTAAACCATTTGCAGCCTATAAATTGGAATGAAAATGCTTCTTGGTGTGCAGTATTCTAAATTTCGGCCTGAAGATTCAACATCACACAAGCTTTCCTCCTGAAGATGAAGATCGGCCTATCTTTGCCTTTCGTCTTTGCTGCCCCAAAACAAATCTGATTATGAATGATACATGACTCCTACTGAAAAATAACGCAATGGATACAATGTTGTCTTATGGTCCACATAGTAATTATAGTATTGTCCTATGAAGTCACAGGTGGATCATTTAAAAAGAACCTCTCAAACCTTATCTTGTTAATAAACAAAAAATAAAGAGACAAAGCATACCAGGCTGCCATTTAAATCTGTGACAGTAGGAAGCATCATGTCATCTTTACAGCAGCCGAGATCTCAGGTACAAGAAAGTCTGCCATCTGGTATCCTTCACCCTACTCGGCTCTTAACATCAGCTGAAATGCTAACATAGGCAAGTGACTGTACTTCAGGAGGACTGATAAAATAATGAAGAGTCCTTTAATCTACAGGAAACCATTCTAGTCAATTTATAAGAAATATTGCATCCCTTTGTAGGACGTGTAATTATTTTCTATTAATCATGTGCTATAAAGCTACATTATGCGGTTATTCTGTTATCACTAGAAAGAGGCCTGCAGTCAGCTTCTGACAATGTTAGGTAATTACTAACACAAAGCTGCTTTCTCCTCCCGCAGTAATGCTATCAAGATCCAGAGGTGTAGTGATGCTTATTGTATAAAAATAGCACTCAAAAGAAATTCAATATCTGCAAAATGGATGGCTTCAAGGCAAAATGTAATGTGGCAGTCAAGAAGCAAAAAAAAAAAAAAAAAAAAAAAGGGCCAAATTTGCCCAATAATCTGAGGACATAATAGTAAGGTGGCACTGAATGCTTGCAATCTCACACCTGCATTTTCAATTTTCACACCATTAAAATCATTTTATTTGATAATTAAAATTTTAGGCCCCAATTACTATTTATTGAGCAATAAATTAAAATGATTGCATGATAAGGCAAGAAAAAAGGACTAGTTTTGATAAAGTGAAACAGAGACTTCATCCAACACAATAGTAAGCGTATGTCCCAATTTACTCAATTAACTCAATCTCTCTTTGCTGGTATATTATTTTACACTTAAATAAGGTCTCAACATTGACTTCAAACCTTTTCAGCACCATAATTCTAATTTCCCAAGTAGGTTAATCCACTTTCCGCAAGCCATATGGTGAAAGAAAGCTGCCTTAACTGAAACCTGAAACACTACCAAGGTTTTGTGATGTACTAGCTCTTTCAGAAATTAGTTACTGATATGTTTGAAAGCAACAGGTGTTGGAAAGTTTAAAAGACTATGTGTCCTTTTTACAAAGATGTCTCTGTGATTTAAAATATACCAGCCTTTTGTGGAAATGAAAGCAATTTTAATGGATAAAATATGAAATACAGGAAGCCTGTGGATTTGACCATTACTTTCCAAGTATTCACTGTGATAATTATGCATAAACACTTCAGTAGTCTGAAAACTAGATAAATACTTAAAATACATAAATACTTTCTTCAAGGCCACCTCTTCAGTCTTTTCTTTTTTATTATCTCTATTTAGAAACTTTGTAAGAATCATTTAATTTCTTATACATTCATCATTTCAAAAGCTTCTCTTAAAACATATGATAGGAACGTGAAACCCTCAGTCTTTTACTATTACAATCTACACACTAATTGCTTGGCTTTTAGTTTCCTGACCTGTTGTTAAATGAGGAAAGGGACACAATCTCTAAGGTCGTCTGTGATGTCTGAATACCACTACTTAGGAATCCGCTTGAAGATACTAAGTTTCCTAGTGGCTTATGGAGATCAACTTCATTACTTTATAATTTACTATGCAGGTGTGACTTTGAGTTCCTTTAACTCAAATAGTGACTTTTTTTTTCTCCTTGCACTGTGCACTCCATTTTAAAGCAGGAGAGACAAAGGACAAGTAAGAAAGCATATAGGAAGAGTGTGATTCTCACAACAAATTTTAGTTTATATCCCACTGCCAAGATACATTTAATTCAAATTTCTACAGTATCAACAGTTGTAATACCATA